TTTCTTTATTAGTTTATATATATATATTGGTGGGCACACTGTAAATCGATGCAGCAGTGCACTAATACTATAAAGCAGAAAGCCTTAAGGTGTAGTGGGCAAATAAAAAACAAATGCCTCTTTATTTTATGTAATTGGAGCATAATCAAGAGTTGGTGAATCTGATCATAGATTATAATTAATAAAAATATATTCTTTTTAAAATTAAAATTTAAGCATTTTGTAATCAAAACTTTTTTGGTTCATTTTTTTAGATTATCGAACTGATTTGGGATATTCAATTGAATTTCTCTGCTTTGTTCAGTGGAAATCTCTTTTTCTTTACATTCGAGTATGAAACCTGTTGAATTGGCCATCATGGCCCCAAATTTCCTGGTCTGAAGCTCGATTAAGCTTTAGGGGCTTTGAGATGGATCAAGGCCCATACTTTAATAACATGCTCAACAGCATCGATGGAGCCACGGAGAGATGGTTTCTATGCAAATCCTTGGACCCATTTTGTATTTTTTTTTTTTGGGTAATCGGGAGTATCCGGACCAGCTTGTGCACACTTCAACTAGTCTTTTAGGATCTTAAAGTTAATAATTAGGTAAAGTTCCAGTAATCAATCCTAGTAACAACTGAAAGGAATTGAACTCATGACCTTGTAAATAATACATTCAAGAGTCCCTATTTCATCAACCGACCATCCATTGCAAATAGCGCTATATTGAAGTCTTCACTGATGAGAACGGTGCTAGTTTAAGGCAAAAAAAAAAACAGGAATTATATGCTCAAAATTATGGCCATAATTGTCTTCATGTACTGTTTGCATTATGGAGCTTTTATGGGTCTTAAAGATAAGGATACGGTAATCCTAATTAGCGATCCAAAACAGATATTAAGATCCAAATTATGAATAATATTAAATGACATCTTATAACAAAATTAATGAGAGCACCTACTTGTGCGGTACATTTATTGAAATCACCGCAAAGGCTTTATCGGAGTTTGGGAAATATCGAGGCTGGTCTGCCCTAAACTTGGCAATTTCCCATCAATGGGGCAGGCCTTGACCCAGACAGAGTGAATAAGTTTTGGGCTACAATTTCTTAGAATTAAAATTAACAATACTAAATGCAATCCTGTTTTCAGTTTTATAAATTGCAGTGAATGACAATTTCCCACCCAAGGTTTTCTGTAATTACATTTACCACTCATAAACTTTGAGAAAAACAATTTCCCACCCATCGCCAACCTCCGTCAATAGAATCTGGTACTTGACAGGGGTAAAGCTATGAAAAAGACTATAACGCCCTCTACGATTTGACTTTATATTTTTTAATGAGGTTGAATAACATTTTCCCACCCAAACTTTATTAATGTATTTTTCACCTATAGTTTGGTTTATATTAATTTTAGGGTTAATAAATTAAAAAAATAAAGTTAGTTATTAAAATCAAAAAATTATGAAAAATTTGAAAAAAAAAAAAAAAGTTGGTCAAATCGCAACTAGCGATTTCGACTAATCCACACCCAGTTGGGTGCGATTCCTAATTTCCTATTAATTCACCCTAGCTGGATGCGATTCCGGCTAAACCTCACCTAACTAGGTGTGATTCCAATCTGTTTTAAAAACTAAACCGGTCGGTCAGACCAAGACCCAGCAGCTTCTCCTGTCCGGTTCAGGTCTTAGGGGAGATTTTTGTAATATTTTAAAATTATAAGGGTTAATTTGGAATTTTATAGGGGTATTTTGGAGATATGTCAAAAGTTTATGAATTAATTGGTATTTTTGAAATAAATAAAAAATTTAGGGACTAATTTTAACTTTTTTAGGGGAATTTTTGTAATATATTAAAATTTAAAGGATTAATTGGTAATTGTTTAAAAATAAAATTGTCACTGACATCATCGGTCCAACCGGTTGACCCGTGACCCGTTGGACTGATGGCAGTAAAACGGGTTGCCAATCCGGGTTTTAAAATAATGATTCCAACTAAACACACATCTTTTTTGAAAGTAAGGTTGAACCTTGTATTTTCAAAATTTAAAAACATATACTATGCAATATGAAAACAGTTTTCTAAACCAAAAATGATAATTAGATGAAACACAATAGAGCCAGTTAAATTTTTTTATTAATTATTTAAAACATGTTCCATATTACAATCCTTTTAGGCTTTTAGCCTTTTTACAGATAATCCTAATCAAGCTCTTACGTAATTCTAACATAATCAAATGAAAATTCTCGTACACATAAATAAGTTATAATGGACCGTCAAATGAGAATTAATTACTTTAGCTTTAGGCTTTATATAAAGTTTCATTTATTGTATTTTAATATATGTCCTCGGAAATTTCTTTACGATAAAAAGTTGTCATATAGATAGGTCCTACCCATCTGCCATATAAATATAATTAGGAGATCGTACCATTGTAATTATAAATAAAGTCCCTAACCACTTCCACTTACAAACAAACACATCCCCCCTTTTACTTAGCTTTAAAAAAAAGTATATACTTGCATAAAACTTGGTTTAACAAATACGATTTTTTTTTTTTTTTAATTGAAGTATCTAGGCCAACTTTTAATACTCTTAAAAGCGTAGATAACCATTTTATGAGACTCGAACACAAAGATCTTTAGATAATTTATCTAGATGATTATAGTCTTACCATCTGATTATAGACGGTAAAATCTACGGGATCGAATCTAGTGATGCGGGCCACTGACAGCCTACTGGACTTGCGAGGAAAATAGCGAAGGTTGTGGAGACTTGGGAGGGAATAATGCTATGGTTTTAGGGCAAAATGTTAGGGCTTCAAGGACCCCCTATGAGAGGGTTTGCCTCTGTTTATATAGTGAACCTCGAGGGTTCCCATCCCAAAAGGATACTAAGTCTTGTTTTTGGAGGAGTTCTCTTCCAAGAAGAGATATGATTCCTCGCCTTTATCGGATCAGGCTCATCAATTTTAGCGAGAATCTAGGTCTTACTAGAAGAGGAAGCAGAATTAGATTCTGATTCTCTGTTTATCAAACTGTTGTGGGCTGATGGGTTGAAACCCAATCAAGCTTAATTTACAGGGTAGCCCAACTCGTGGAGAGGGCAGTTCGTAAAGTAGATTTAAGCGTGAGCCCAACTAGAATTGAGCTAAGGCCTTAGGCTGTAACACGTTTATTTTGTTATTGAGCACCGTCAGGTCCAATACGATTTTTTATCCATACACCGACCTAGTTTTTATTAGATATTTTGGACACTTATGTTTTAACATTTACAAACAAAGTTAAGTGATGAATGATGATTCTCTGATTTTATGCAAATATGAAAATCAGACATAGAAAAACATATAAAATTGAAAAATAATATATAAAATTGGACAGGTGTGAATCATTTTATAGCAGCATTAACGAACACGTTGTCTAGTCCTTCTTGTCAAGAGGGTTGTTGGGATATGGAAACGGAAAGTGAATTTGAAAGCACCCCACTATATCAACCAAAACTTTAAAGCAAAGGCTACATCATTATATCCAAATATATATTAGTTATTATTTATTTACAATTATGGTTGTAACTAAACAATTTTCAATACTACTTACATGTTTTCTTTAATTATTTCTTTATAAATTTACCTAACCAACTTCCTAACTCATATACCTGTCTTCATCAACCCATCAACATTTGCCATTATTTAACGGTGTTTGACCGTTATATCTAAACCCTTTGATAAAAACGAATTGATATTTTCTGATAATTATGAGGCGTTTAATATGAGCTAAATTAGATTGAATTGAACTGTTCTTTAATCCATTATAATTACGACAAGCTATTTAAAGATGGTGGGCACATGAAGAAGAATGAACGAAGATCGGGACCATCAAATAGAAGAATTCAAAGCTTCAAAAATGGAAGCCCAACTACAATATCTTCCATAGAAAAGGCTTCACCAGAAAGCAAAGACTTCTATACCACTAACTAACCAGTAACCACCGCACCAAAACTCACCGTATCATTCAACTGTATATTAAAAAAAGTTTTGGAAATTAAAAAAAGAAGAAAAGCATAGAATAATCTCTTTTAAAGACAAAAACTTAATGAAACTTCCTCAATCTTGGCAGTATCATCACACGTTACATCATTATCATCAAGTGATGCGAATTGTATGGTCCGCTTGATTTTCCACGCCTGGGACCCCCTTTTTCTTTCTGAATGATCACATGTAATTAAGTATACTATAATAGTATGAGAACACGTTAGTATGTGACTGACGCCCATGTCTTGCAGCTCGTGGGCTCCACTTGAAACCTGAAATTTCGTTCCATTTTGAACCCCGTTACGTATATTTATTTATTTGAAACCTTATTATAAAACTAATATAAAATAAAATGAAAAATAATTTGTATGTATGCGGACCATGACAGCATGAAACCGAGACGTAACAATTGGACACCTTTTTTTTTTGGGTCCCACAATTGTTTTATTTAGCTCAGCAGCCAGCTTGGTAAATTAATAAAAGCTACAGATTTTATAAATAATTGTAGAGTCACGCTTAAGTATGGAGATTAATTATTAATTATTAATCCTCTGGATCCGGGTCTACGGTCCTCCACCACTGGTTAATGATCATGCGATCAGGAGTTTATTTATCTAGTGTACATTTATTTGTCCTTTTTCTTTTATATAATTTTTCTGGTCCTAGAGTACCTGAAGGTTGAGACCACGAGACTTGGGGTGGTCCGAAAAACACCTGATTATGATAATAATTTTCAAAGCATAATGGATTATTAAGATAAATATTGGATGTCAAATAACACGATCCAATGAGATGGGTGCATCATAATCGGCACGATGCGCGCCGGGCAAAGGACACAATCAAAATACTGTTCACCGTTTCGTTAATTCTTTCCAAAAATTCTCAATCAGGTAAAAAGATAAAAATTAAATTAAATTAAAAAACAATTATCGCATTAAATACTCTCTCACTCTCACAAGTCGCTCTTCACGTCTGTGTGACCGCTGTATATTCATTTCTCCTTCCCAAACATCAAGAAAAAAAATAAAATCAGAAACAAAAACAAAAATCTTCCTCTCTCTGAACTCGCCTTTGTTGGAACTTGGAAATGCAAGCGTAAAGCGTAGTACATGTCAAGGCTGGAGAACAAACACGCTGAGAGAGACTTTTTTTTTAACCATATTAGGGTTTGTAGTGGCTGAATCTCTTTTCGAAGTACAAGAATGCCGTTGACGAGGTATCAGATAAGGAATGAGTTCAGTTTGGCGGATCCGGAGCTGTACAAAGCTGCGGATAGAGATGATCCTGAAGCACTTCTTGAAGGAGTCGCTATGGCTGGCCTGGTCGGTGTCTTGCGCCAGCTCGGCGACCTTGCCGAGTGAGTTTCAACTTCGATTTGGCTTTGTGTTTGCTTGAATTGTGGTTTTTTAGTAAAATGTTGAGCTAATAGGGTTTGGATTTTTTGAAATGAACTGATTAAAATAGGTGTTGAGGGTGAATAAGTTCAGTTTTAGATTTGGAATTTTTTTTTGATCCGATTGGATAATTTAGTTTTATTTATTAGCTAAGTTTGTAATGATTCATGGATTCATTTAGCAATTTGAGTGCGAGATTTCCTTTTATTGTTATATTTTTAGATTTATTTCCAGGTTACTATACTTTTTGTTGGTCAAAATTCAGAGGAGATTTTGGATAATTGAAGGTCAAATTAAATGTTGAATGTGAATATTGAAGAAGTTGAAGGTCTTACCTTAGCTCATTGTGATGAATTGTAGTTGTGAATTGTCTTTCACTTGTTGTTTGGGAGAGCTATCATGAGAGAGGTGTTGTATATGTATTTACCTCTTATGTTTGGTTGTGGTTGTTTTAGGTTTGCTGCTGAGATATTCCATGACTTACACGAAGAGGTGATGGTGACTGCTGCAAGAGGCCATGGGCTGATGGTTCGTGTTCAACAGCTTGAGGTTGAATTTCCTTCTATTGAGAAGGCTTTTCTTTCCCAAACTAATCATTCATTATTCTTTACTAGTACAGGTTTGTTTACTTCCTTCTCTGTCAAATTTTTATGTACATTTTCATCTAATTGTAGATGGAAATTGCATTATCTTGAATTATATATTAAGAGTGCTTAATGTCGTTATTTAATATTTAGTTGTTTTCTTGTATCAAATTTTATACAGAGTTGGATAATTTTGAAAATGAAAAATTTGTGCTTTTATAGATCACAGTCTTACTAGGCTGTGCTGGATGTATTAGTGTCATAGAATGTATTAGTTCATAAATTTTTTGTTATAAGACTATCATAGAGTTCTTGTGGTTGAAGAAATCATTTATTAAATTGCATGGTAAAAGGTCATACATATGTAAAGATTTAATTTTGTTTCAGGAACTGAGTGGCATCCTAATCTGCGTATGGAACAGAATCTGATAACTCATGGCGACTTACCTCGTTGTGTAATGGACTCTTATGAAGAAGGCCGTGGTCCACCACGGTTGTTTCTTCTAGACAAGTATGATTACCTGAATTCTGTTGACTTTATGATGAAAATGTTGAAAAGGTTTTGCTTAAAAAAATGAAAACTTTATCATTAGTTTCTGAAATGATCAGATTTGATATTGCGGGGGCTGGGGCATGTTTGAAGCGTTATACTGATCCATCATTCTTTAAAGTTGAAGCAGCAGTGGAAGCCCCGAGGGAAAAGAAAATTCGCAAAGTGAAGGTATTGCACTGAAAGTATTTTCATCATACAGTGAAATCTTTTTCATTGGTCATGGTATTAGAGTATTCTTTCCTGTTCTTTTGTCCATGCTAAGTAAACGTAAATCATCCATCAGGATATTTTAGTTTATTTTCTGTGTATGAGACTTTTTTCCATTTCCATTGTGGTGAACAGAAATTTTGTTTTAAAGCTCTTTATGAGTGTAGTTATTGTTGCTCTGAGATTTATATTTAGTTGTGGTCTTGGCATTCCTCATAGTAGTGCCTTCTCTTGATTCAAAGACGTGCCCTGTATGTTTAAGATGTTATTCTGTCTTTATGTATCTGGCAGAGGAAAGTATCACGCTGGAGGAATGGAGGAACTCCAGAAATAGTATCAACATCACATGCCAAGTGAGACCTTGTATTCCATACTTACGCTTAACTTGTGATTGTTTAAAGTGAATAGATGGCTCAAATTGCTTTCAAATACTGCAGACTGCATCAGTTGTTTCTGGAAGAGAAGGTTGAGAAGGGCTACAGTGATCCTGCACGTCTTGTGAAATTGAAACAGAGGCAATTAAATGCATCTCCTTTAGACTTAAAATCTGGGAAAAGTTACATGGAGAAATTTTTGGAGACTTCTGAACACAATGTTGTTCGTGAAATTTCTGTTACTCCACTGGCCTTGAAACTGACATCAGATAATTCTAGTGAATCAGGCCTTGAAATACATGATATAAGTACAGTGAGTCCTGTGAAAAAATCAACTCAAAGAAAGGAAAGCACACATGACTCACAGGAGGTAGTACGGAATCCATCTATAGATGAGTTGTATGGGGAGATCATTGATAGACAAATTGTGAAGATGCATGAACCAAGTGCTGATGATGAGACAGATGCAATTCCTTCTGATCCTCATAAAGTGACGGTTGAAAAGGAAATAGCAATTGATAGAGAAGGCAAAATGGACAGCACTCACAGCAGTGTAGATAGGGAGAATTCTGATGATATGACCAGTGAGGTTGACAATTACTCGGATGCTCTTACTACCATGGAGTCAGAAATGGAAACAGACAATGAATATAGAGCTAAATCTGGTATGGGCTTCTCGAATGTCAAAAAACGTGGGATGGATTCTGGTAGGAATGAGGAACAGCTGGAGTCCCAAGCTCATTTTTCAGATTCTCAATCAATTGGAAACTTTTCTGCATCAGATGATGGTAACAGTTCATTTAAGAAAGGAAGATCTAGCCTTTCTTACTCTGATAGCAATTTGGCTGAAAATACGATATCTGATGGTGAAGGGTCAGCTAAAGTGTTTCCTTCTTCTGAAGCTTTCGTGGTTGAAATTACAGAGACTACATCATCTCACGATCTCATGTTATCAAATGATCTGAACGTTGATGAAGATAATGTCTGTGATCTTGGAGACGCCGCTTCTAGTTCCTGTCTTGTGGATTCAAAACCTTCCCTTCTGCAGTTTGATTCTGCAGCAAGTTCACAGCAACACAAATTAGATGAAACACCCTCTGAAAGTATTAAACCTGTTTCTGAATCATCATATGATGAAGAAAGTGAGACAAAATTTGTTGATTCTTCAGCAGTTGTCTCTGATATGCCTTCACAGACAAAAGATGGTGCTGCTTTTACACTTTGTGCTGAGAGCGGTCCTGTGGATAATTTGGATGATGGAGATCCAAATGTCTCTTCTGATGCTGCGTTGAATTTGTCAAACAATTCAGATCTGACTCATGAAAAGAAAAGCAGCGATGATTCTGCAGATGACGGTTGTGCTGAAAGGTTGGTCAATACTAAGGTTGATTCACATGAGTTAGTTAATTCTCCTAGGGAGGAACAGGTCGCTTTCTCAGCCATGCAAGAAGCAGAATTATGTTCTGATTCTGCATCATTGCCTGCCAGTTCGAATTTTGTGAAGCCTGATGATTTAGTTTCTGAAGTTAATGATACTTTCCCAGAAAGTGGAGCCTACCCAGAAACTTCAACTTCTATGGTTGATGCTTCACAGACTTCTAGCTCCAAAGAGCAGCAAGTATCAAATACTGGGGATAATATGCCCTTTATTGAACTTGACTCAACAGAGAAGGCAGCTTTGTATTCTGAGGAATCAAATCTTGAAGATATTTCTAGGACTGCTGACACTGAGAAAGTAGGTGTATTGACATTTGAGGTTCCTGCTGTCAAAGAAGATGAGGTCCCTCTTGAACTCACATCTAAGAGCACAGATTCTTCCGTCCTTGAGGATCATGATGGCTTAGATGATGTGGTAGCTGAAAGCGTTAAAGCAGAAAACCTGGTTGTGCTTACTGTTGCTGTTGATGATGTGCCTACTACCGCCAGTGCTGATGATAATGTTGACAATGTTGTTTCTCTGCCACAAGATTCAATTTGTTCTCCATCTAGTAATCTTGAAAATCTGCAAGAATCTCCTTTTGGTGGTAAGGATCCAGGTCAGGAAGGATTGGAACTTAATGAGCCAATTTCTCCAGCATGTGTTGAAGGATCAGAGGCAGAAAAGGAAATGAGTCAACTGGATGTTGAGCCTGAAAATTTTGACTCCACATCCTGCAAGTTGGCCTCTGATGATAATTCTTATTTGAAAGTGGTGAAAGTGGTTGATGATGATTCATCTTTAGCTGATTGCACCCAAAATAAAGTGCCTGAAGCTGATGCCGTCATTGCACCAGCATCGTCAGCAGTAAGTGACCAAGAGCTGGAATTTCTCCGTCAGAATCATCTTCTAGAAGAGGCGGAATGTGTCACAACTTCACTTGCTGGTCACCTCTCAGATCCTGAAATTTGTTTGCACCAGTCTCCGGCTCTGCAAGCTGATCAATTTGATGTGGAATTGTCAAAAGCAGAAGAAGCAAGTTCTAGTTCATCTCAACATCAGTCTGAACTAATACAGTCTTCAAATCTCACTGATCATGGAAGACTCTCTAATGATGCTTCTGAATCTTGTCAAGAAGAACTTCCAAGCGAGCTGTCACCTTCTGATGATTTAGCACAATCAGCTGGCCAGGAAATTAACAGTGTTGAACAAACAATGGATCCATTAGGTTCTTTCCCTCCAAGCTTTGGCCTTCTCCATGAGGCAAATCAAGTCAATATGGAGGAGATTCCACCTTTGCCACCTCTGCCACCAATGCAGTGGAGGTTAGGGAAGATTCAAGATGCTCCACTAATTTCACAGCAAGAACCCGTTGGTCATAGTCACGAGTCATTCCCATCGATTCTGCCATTTAAAGACGATGAGAAAGCTCAATTTGGTTTTCCAGATCAACAGAGAGGCACTGTGCAGTCTGGGAATCCATTTCTGCCCCTCACTGCTCTTGGAATTGAGGATTTACACGTGTCTGAACAAGAAGTGGGTGATACAGGGCAGCCTACTACATCATTGCAAATGCCAACTAAGATTAACGACGCAAATAATAAAGAGATCAGCGTTGTTTTAGAGGAAACTCAATCCCTGAACCCATTCTTAACATCATCACTATTACCTAATGAGGAGCCTGAAGATGGTTTCCTTGCTTCAGGGGGTGAAGTAGTTCAATCAAGTTCAAACCCATTCTTATCAGAACCAGCTGATAGACACACTGCTTCTGATAATGAACCTGTATTTTCTCAGGGGAAACTAATCTACCCTCAGAATCAGCCAATACCAGAAACAGGTTTAGAGAATAACTCGCATCAATCCACATCACAAAACTCAGAAGGTGGACATGATAATACTTCTAATACGTTAGTGCTGCCACCTAGAAAGGTTGAAGAGCAGCCTCAGCATAGTTTGCCTACTTCAGAGGGAGAATCAGCTTGGTCATCCAATCCATTTGTTTTCTTACCAACCTCCGAAGTTGGAAATGCAAACGGAAGTTCAGTAGTTAAGCTTCCCCGTCCTCGGAATCCTTTAATTGATGATGTTGCTGCTCTTGACAAAAGCAAGGTAAAAATGAGTTAAAGGTGTCTATTTAATACTTCAATTTCTTTGGAACTACTGATTTTTAACAATCACAATCTTTTGCAGTTGAGAAAGGTTACTGAGCGGGTTCGGCCGCAAAATGGACCAAAGTTAGATGAAAGAGACTCCCTCTTACAACAAATACGAACCAAGGTTAGACAGAACCTCTTATTGTGACCATTATCAAAAACAACTGAAATGCAGTGTTTCGTGAACTAATGTCTATATAATTTTCTGTTCCTACAGTCCTTCAATTTGAAGCCTGCAGTGTCGTCAAGACCCAGCATTCAGTTTCCTAAGACTAACTTGAAGGTTGCTGCCATCTTGGAGAAAGCAAATGCAATTCGCCAGGTCTCTTTCTTTCTCTCCCTCTCTGTGTTTGAGTGTTTAATATCTGGTACATGTTACTAAAAATGATTAATTATGAAATAGGCCACGGCTGGAAGTGATGAAGATGATGAAGATAATTGGAGTGATTCTTGAAAGATTCTCCCTGACAAAGCGCTTCACTATAATGGTTACATCCCGAGAATAGTTGAGAACATTTTGCTCTCCCTCATATAGTAAATAGGAATTCCTGTGACCTGGTGAAAATTCTTTTCTTCTCAACCCTAAATTCATGTATTATGATCCCCCTTCCCTCCCCAATCTTTCACACACATGTTGATGTATATGTTGTTACATGGCTCTGTTATATCTACAAAAGTCCGGTGTGAAATGTCAGGTGCGTTACAAGAATGACCTTCCGGCACTCAGCGTGCAAGCGCTGTACCAATCATTTTTCTTTTACGTTGTTACTTAAGATCTTAGGTGGTGTAAATTGTGTTGGGTGGTATAAATTTTGATTAGCAGTGTATTTTGCAATTTTTTTTATTCTTGTATGCATTGTTCTTTCTATGCATATATATTATTTCTAGCCTTTTTATGCAGTTTCTGGCTCTTATGAGTGGCTGCTTCTTTGTATGTAATACAATTGTAATAGTATGTATGGTGTCCTTCAGAAATACAAAATTGTTACCACGCTTGATTCTACTTCACTCTCCATCTCCAAGACTCGTATAATTGCAAGATGTGGTGTATGTACATGTTATATGTACTGCTGCAGCCAACGGTACAATTGGGGGTTGCCACAGACCCAAATCATCTTCATTTGCAATTGGATTGAAGTTGAAGTAGAAGGGATTTTTCATCAGTTTCAGTTCCATCATAATTTCATCCCTTGTGGACGGCAAGTCCAATCTCCAGAAATAGATAAACAAATAAAAGCAATTGATTCGTTCCTGCAGCTGTTATATACTATTTGATAATTGATATAGAAGAGGGAAACGAAGCATTTCTTTGGTTGTCTTGTCGCAGTCAAGAAATTGTTCATGCACATAAATTTGATCACAGGATTAATTATAAAGTCCCGTGATCCTCTTCTTGTATTGTAAGTCAATTGCTCCTTTAACCATATTTGGGTAGCCAAGTAAAACGATAGAGACTTTTGAATGTATTAATTAAGAGGTTTTCAGTTTAATTTTCTTCAATTATTAATAAAGGTGATCATTGAAGAGTTTACCTAATTATTAACGTTAGAGTTTCAAAAGATTAACAAGATAAGTACAAGTTTCAAACATCAGCTAAATAATTACTTCTTTTGTAATATTATTAAGTTAGGATAAGGAGCAACACAGCTTAATAAAGAAAGGAAAAGAAAATAGTAGTCGGTTACTCCAATAATTGGTATTGGTTGATACCCCATTGACACTGAATAAGCTTGGCAATTGGGCCATATCTTACCTTAACCATTGTTCTATAGTGTTTAGTTTACTGTTGAAATGCCCTTGAAGTCAACAATCGGTGCGACCCAAGAGAAAAATCAACAATAACTGATAGGATTCTTTTCTGATGAAACGATGTCGTTCTGATGTGTATGCGCAGTAGCACAAGTTGCCTTGAGAAATTGCGGTGTCTTTTCGCTTTGTAAACCCTTCTAAATTCTCCATGATGTCTCTCACACTCAATAGATTTGAATAAAAATATTATCTCATCGCTATAGTCTCTGTGTAATACATGTACAAATCAGAGGAAAATAAAGAAGTTAAAAGACAAACACATTGAATTCTGACCCGAAATTCTTTTTATGGGAAAATCGCTTCCCAATAATAAAACCAGACTATACCAACTCACAAAGACAGCATCACAACTCCTGAACAAAACTCAAACAAAACCCACTCCCTCCACACCCCAAACTCGACGAGTACTGGGAGCGGAAATCCGGCACAACAACATCAACAGCAAGTGCAAGAACATGGAGAGCACCAGCGAGCCGAATATCAACAACGGTAACGAGAACACGCGCGTGCCGTTATCGGAAGTTGTCTCGGATTGTGTGAAGCGTTGGTTTAAAGACACGCTTAAAGAAGCCAAAGCTGGTGACATCAACATGCAGGTGTTGGTGGGGCAGATGTATTATAGCGGTTATGGTGTTGCAAGAGACACCCAGAAGGTAAATTTGTTTTGGTGGGAATTATGGTTATGAATTGAGTTATTAGAGTTTTGTTTGGAGTTGATGGAAATTAGGGTTTTGTTTGGGTTAAGTTGTTCAGCTTTTTGTTTACTTTACATGGGTTGAAATTTTCAGGGAAGAGTGTGGATGACAAGAGCATCGAGGACTCGAGCCTCAGTTTGGAGAGTTAGTGATAAGCATCCAGGTTGATGTTAATTCTTTTCTTAGTTTTATTTATTTATTTATTTTATTATTATCTTTAATTTCGCTGTGTTGCCTGCTTGTGTTGTGATTATTATTCATCGTGCCTTTGTCAGGTTATAACGCGAGTGATTCGGATTCAGATGAGTTGAAAGGAGAATCTTAAATACTGAATTAGGCTTCATGTCCAAAACAATTGATAGTGAGTTGGCCTTGGGATTTATATTGTGTTTGTTGTGCTGCATTTAATTTTAGTTGGTTTAAATCTTGAATGCCTGCAAAGATCTTGGGCTCTTGTTGTCCTAGTCAATTGTGTTATTTCATATGATTTGTGATTTGTGAGATTTGTTACTAGCTGTGATATCAGATTTGTTTTGTCGTTTTTTAAGGTTTAAGATACTATTAAGTTTATGAATAGACTGACTTGTTGGATATTATACTGGTTGTTTTTCCTTTTAAGGCTAAGAATTTAATCTCTTTGTTGTTTGAGTCATCTAATTGGTGGATTTTGAGGTATTAATTTCTATCTCTTGCCCTTTCCTTCTGAACGCTATTTTATACATGCACGTGCGCGCGCATATATTCATATTCTCTAAACTAAAAGCATATTTGGTAGATATGATAAAGCAGAGAATATTATCTTATGCGATGTCGATGCTCTGTCATGAGGGCAGGATACAACAATCCGGTGAGGGGAGATTGGCTAAGGGTTATTCACATAGACAATTTACGTTTGTGACTAGACATCTCGGAGACAGAGAACAAAAAAGAGTAGTATATTTTCCAAAATTTTCCACCATCTGATATATAACTCTGGAGAAAACGTAGAGGATAAAGAAAAACCCCTATACTATCTTTTATCTCAGTCCGTTCTCTTGCTCATGCAATTACCTTGAGGAAATCGAAAATTTCAACTCTCGAACATACTAAAATGAGGGGAAAAAAATTGGTCTCTGGTAGTGATGATGTTTGTGTTTCTCTGAGTGCTGTTTGGTTTCTTCATCTGAAGAGCATCAGCTGTGCTTGCAAGGGAGCCTTATTGGATACTGGCTGTTATTGCAAGTAAATTTGGTGTGTGGTAATTTATATGACTGTGTAGGGTTATCTGTTATTAGATTTTAGAATATCTCATCTTTTCTGGGCAAGTTATTGCATGCTTAAAAGAGCATGCGATTAATGTTTTTGCAAATTTTAGGTATTTTATTGAATACCTCCATTTACAGTCAGATGAACCAACTTCTATTTTTCTGTTTGAATTGAGTAGCACGGGGTAAAAGAATATAGTTCGTATTTACCATCAAATGTTTACATTCTGAGAATGTATTTTAAACATTATTTTTACATTTTCTTTTGTTGTTATAAAGAACATGATGAGGTAGATAGTCAGTGAATCTATAGAAATGAACCAAAAAACAAAAATCAAATTTCAACAGTTAGTAGTATTTGTAAAGAAAGAGAAAGCTAAGCCTTGGTATATTCTGGCTTGGGTTAGTAAAATAGTGGTGGCCATTGATTGTGTTACATTTCAACGAGACTCTGTTAATGGATTGTTTTGACCTGTTTTAACATCTTATATAGCCTAATTTACTTCTTTTTGACTCCTATAAGAAATAAACTTACAGTTCTTTTGTTTTGCTATCAACAGACTCAATTAATGGGATCTTTTTGAACTGTTTCAACTTCTTATATAGCCTAAGGTAAACTGGAGAATTTTATCTAGCCCTTAAAAAAGAGGAAATAGATTTCTCTTTAATGTTGTGCGTATGACCTTGTGTCATTTTTTCCTTTATTTGTTATGATCCCAAGTTGCCTTTTCATAAGGGATTTGTGTTCTAAGGATGAACATTTTCCCTTTTTTTGTATAATATTTCTGTTCATCATGATTTGTTAGTGAAATGATGAATTTTACAATAGCTTGACGAATTGAAGGAATAATGGGATGAGTAATGCTATGCTCAAAGTAAAAACTTTGTATCCCAATTGATATGACAACTGATTCGGCATAGTTATTTTACTCATCACATCATCTAATCATTAACTTGTTGACAAATCAATTATCATGTCACTCGGGATACAAAGTTGGGATCTTTACTTTGTAAGTGTAGTGTTATTGATAATAGGATTCCATATGCAGAAACTGTGGCATTTCCTTTTGCAGTTGTCTTTTCATCAAATTATTCTGAAGATATCCAGACTTTTACAACTTGTCATCTGCATTCGCTCAAACATTTATTACTTCTGCTAGGACTTCTTTTTGACTTGATGTTTGTTGTTTCATGGCGTGTTCACTGTTTCTCTTAATCATCTATTATATTTGTGTAATTTAAATTGTAGTTGTTTGCATTTGTAATTTAGCATATCTACCACCCTTTGCAGATTGTTCAGGTGTTGTGTTGTTATGGCATTACAAAATTAATAATGTGATTTAGTAACCTATGAAGTAGATAGTTATAAGTTTATTTCTTTTGTTTATATTTGGGTAAATGTGACCCTAGACAGAGCAGATGAATGATTAAAGTACCTGGGTAAGTTTATATTCAGTGTGCTCTGTAGTTGTTCTGCAGCAGAATAGTTATAACATTGATGCGTTGCCAGATCATTGGTGGTATATTTAGCTGCCATTTATTTGATCCCAATTGGGACTTGCATGATTTCTGCTATCTGGTGCACTTCTAAATTTTGATTGATCTCTGTTAACTCTTTTTTGTAGGGTGGATTTGTGCTCTGCCGACTACCGGTTCTTCAACATCTTAAATGTGCCTGTAACATTCTTTTTCTTTCCTGACGCTTTTTTTAGTTTGTTTGTTTTTACCATATGTAACTTTGTAAACAATCTCATCATTATCATAAAATAATGTTAATTGTACTTTTACAGGCAACAACATTTTGTGGTTTAAATTTTTCCTTGACATCTTATATTTTCTTTTTAATTTACTGAATTTTTACATAGTGATGATATAATTTCTATCGTCGTCAACAAGTAATCGTTTTCTTTGTTTTTATCAACATAATACCGGTTCGTAGTTTCTGAAATTCTTAGTCCGTTTTGAGTATGCGACCTCATAGACTTTAATCATCTGGAGAGTCCCCCGTTCACTCTCTTTCAAATCAAAGTTACAAGAGGAAATGAGAACTAGAAGGGCAAGTAAATGGTCATTAAACTTTTACTTGTATTCGTCTACAACATCTAGAGGCCTTTTATGTCCACTTCATTCAAGAATTGCGGCCTCACAATCAGTAGCCAGTAGCTTTTGCTCACTCCGTTCTTGATATTCAAACTAAACAAGCGGGATAAGTTTTTATTTATTTTACAGTGCCTGTCCTCAAATTCTGCGGCCTACCCCTTTTTCGGCTCTGTACAAACTGATGATTATAAAATTTGGTGGTGTCCATTGCATTGTTACAGCCAGCCCCTTTTTCTACCAACTCCTTATATTTTCACTTCTCTCATGTTTATCTGGCGTAAGCAACAGCTTTTACTTGATTGTATTATATGTATGTGCTTGCTTACTCGTTGGTTGATTCCCACTGAACGAGTCTGGTCAAATTGAACTTCGTTTACCTGTAGGAGACAGAATCTCCCCTCTGTAAAACTAAAAGAAAATCTGGTTCTTCTCCCTATGCCTAAACAATGCCTTCAGTATTCCCACTTCAGGTCATTTAGTGACAAGAGAAATAGACTTTCCTACCTTAATTTCCCTGAGCTTCATGATCAACTTAATCATCATGTTCATGGCAAGAGAAACACTTAAAGAGTCCAAGACGTTTGGTAAGAAACTCAAATATATCACTGACCTTCTTTAATAGTTGGTTACTTATTATTATTATTATTATTATTATTATTATTTTGGGTATCCGGGGATATTCGAGTCAACTTGTATGTACTCTGACTAATTCTCTGAGGTCCTGAAGTTAATAGCTAGCCACGCCTCCAGTGGTTACTCCTTATTAGTAGTTGTAAGGATTCGAATTCGGGGTAAATTATAACTTCCCCTATACTTGCATATATAGTAAACATAATGCAAAATAAAAATCCGGACAATGGCGGCATGAAGCATGTCGTGGATAAATGTAATGGTGTTAAAACTCTGCGACACATTGGATAGTATCCGTTCGTTTTAAAATAGAGGAGGCAGAAGGAATCAAAGTAACAAATAGTCTCAACTACTTGTCAGCAGTATCTTAGTCGAAGTAAACGTAACTGCACCAAGAACGTATTACTACCTGCTGCTTCCCACACGGTGATGATGATGCAACTGCTATTATCATATCCTAAATACTATCAATCATATCATATCATAATCATCATCATCATCACCGTCATCAGGAAGATCGAATATCTTCATATATATATAGCATTATCGCAGCGGAAATATATAGCCTCCTTCAAGAAGCATTAAAACCTGCAAGAACTAACTGAATAAGAGATCATATGGAGAGAGATCCACTCATTGTCCAAGAACAATCCCCTCTTCATTCATCTCTACTCACATATTTGTATGTTGGCCATTTCTTAGCGAGATGGGGTGCCAGGTTAATTTTTTTATCTTCCATTTTACGTTTAACATATTTGTTTTTAATTTGCTTACAGGAATTGATCGATCTGTATTCACATTTTTTCTGACAGTTAGCTTTTTATTTCCTACCCCATATGACAGAATTAATGGTAATAGTCAATAACAGCTTCTAATTGAGAATTTTTAATGGTTCCTAATATTTTACCGTTAGAAGATTTGAACCATTTTTTATTTTTTTTCTTCTATAAATCTTTCGGGCATGCGCAGTTTCAAGTTCTTCTATAAACAAATTAGCTGCTCCGTTTTCATCAAACGCAGCGGCTCTAATTTTCAGCAATAAATAGTTGCAAAGTGTTTCGAACTATATATATTAGTAGAATAATTATTTTATCAAAACCATACATCTGTTTCAACTTACAAAATCCTAATTGCACACAAACTAACTGATTGATCTCTACGAGGAACTATTATCAGGCCATTTTATATGTATAAATTTGCTAGTTTTGAACTCTATAGCATGTGGCTCCCTTGTAACGTGTTATGTTCTTTGCAGAATGTGGGAATTCTCTGTTGGTTTGTACATGATCAGTATTTGGCCAGACTCTTTACTCTTTGCCGCTATTTATGGTGCTGTTGAATCTGCCTCCACTGCATTGTTTGGTCCCATCATTGGCCAGTGGGTTGAGCGGTTGACATATGTAAAGGTTAATGATATTATTTAACCACTATTATTTCTATGGATTTGTTTAATTGGGCAGGTTGGAGTGCTAGTTCTTCATGATAAATTTTGATCTATTAAACTCACTTGATGAATTCCTGTTGGCAGGTTCTCAGAATTTGGTTGGTGTCCCAGAATCTCTCCTTTATCATTGCAGGAGTTTCAGTGATTGCATTACTGATTTCCTCAACGTTGAAGTCCACAAATTTCACAGCATTTATCTTACTGTTGTTACTAACTAACATCTCAGGAGCTGTTGGTGTGATTTCTACTCTTGCCGGTACCATCCTAATCGAAAGAGAATGGTAATCATGACACTTTTAACAAGAAAGAAGTGATTTCAAAGTATGTAGCAACTCTGATGTTGTTATGGTTATTTTCTTAGAACAGGGTGGTGGTGATATCAGAAGGCCATCCTCCAGAAGTTCTGACAAAGATTAACTCGATTATCAGACGGATTGATTTAATCTGCAAGTTACTAGCTCCTGTTATAAGCGGCTTCATTATCAGTTTTGTATCTCTAAAGGCATCTGCCATGGCTTTGGCCTTGTGGACTAGTATAACTGTTTGGCTGGAATATTGGCTTTTTATGTCTGTTTATAATGGAATTCCAGCTTTAAGAGAAAGAAGCCAAAGTAAGATGACAACTAGAAGTTTGCCAATTGATCCAGAAGAGAGCACATCCATGTCTCAGGAAACAGAAAACTTGCTTTCTCATGGTGGAAGTAATGGAGCAATAGCAGAAAGAAGCTTGAGAAAGACAATAACTGATTGGCTTTCAAATGCCCCTTTCATAGGGGCATGGAGAGTCTATATGCAGCAAGCTGTTGTACTCCCTGGTTTTGCTCTAGCTTTGCTATTTTTCACAGTCCTCAGGTAAATGAATGTAAAATTATGGTCGGATTTCTTTCCTGTGTTGCTAGTTTATCACTAGTCTTTTCAAAGGGGGAAAATCATACAGTGCGAAACATGGCATTGAAAACGTGATATGTAGCTCACTGCCTGCTTTTACATGCTTTTCTATATTTGAACTTTCTTCCAAATGTGACATAAGATATAACAACTTTCCTCAAGTGTGCTTGTTTGTGTATTGTATTTTGGATTTGGCTTTATATCCTGCCAGTAATTCCTTACTCATCGCCCTCCAGCTTTGGAACACTGATGACAGCTACATTAGAGTGGGAAGGTATACCGGCATATGCTATTGGAATAGCACGTGGAATAAGTGCGGCAATTGGAATAGGTGCAACTGTGGTGTACCCAATTCTACAATCCCGTATTTTAACACTCAGAACAGGGCTTTGGTCGATTTGGTCTCAGGTATAAACCTCTAGAATAATTATGTGTATGTTTATCATTTAAGAGTTGCTTCATTGACATGCTCAAATTTTCGTCAGCTTCAATACTTTATTCCACCTGAAGACATCTTTAATGAAGATTAATGGAAGATATTCTAATTATATAGGAAGAGAATTTTCCTAAAAATTACATTCCCACTAACCCCATCTCCTCTCCAACATTTGGAAAAAAATTGAAACACTACTTCCTAACTGATCCTTTCATATTTGGTTTGTGTGTTTTTTCATTCAGTGGACATGCCTTTTATTATGCGTTGCTTCAATATGGGTCCAAAATGGCCTTTCAGCAGCATATATGCTAATGGGTGGAGTGGCAATATCCCGGCTTGGGTTATGGATGTTTGATTTATCTGTCATTCAGCAAATGCAGGTAGAAGCTCCCAGGTTTTGCTGTACTGAATTTTATTCTGATAAAAAAAAAATCTTTAAGTCTCTTCATTTTGATGCTTTGGATGTTAGTTCCTGCTAATATTTCGAAAATTTCGTCTTTCCTGTTTGTTTTCCCCCCTTCTCCTGTATAGGACCTTGTTCCTGAGTCAGAACGTTGTATCGTTGGAGGAGTCCAGAACTCCCTTCAGTCTAGTATGGATTTGATGGCTTATATTATGGGAATTATTATCTCCAGTCCACAGGTAATCCTGTCTTGCTTTGCAGTACTTCAGTTGTTTATGATATATGAATCAATGTGTATCTCAACCTTGCATTCATTTTCTTTCTGTTCCTTAGTGCATATAGATAAGCCCACATGAGGGTTTTTACATGTTAACATCATCAAAGCCTAAAGAGTATTCTTTCATTAGTGAATGCAATGCCAGGGAGGTCTATCATATTGCATTCTCTCTGAAGTTTCATATGTAAATTCAGCTTTTCCTTTCAGAATCTTCATGCTTGGGATTGACAAAGTTCTATTATTGTCTACTTTTTCAGGATTTCTGGAAGTTGATTTTAATGTCTTTTATGACAGTAACATTGGCTGCATTCCTCTACACTTTCCATCTATACCGCATCAGAAAGCACCTCTTTCATTTTCAAAAGTTAGAATCAGCTCAGTTGTTTATCAGATCATGCTTTGATGCAAGTCAGAATTCACGCTGTTAAATCTTATCCATGTCTCTTAGTAGGCAGGTTCATTTGCGGAATGATATTCAAGAAAAGGAAATTTTTTTAATACAAAAGAACTACTGTGTTAACGGTACGAATCAATCTAATTATGTTATTGATGTATTCTCCCATCTATCATAACAATTAACCACATAGTCGCCACCTCCTTAAAAGTCGATTTTAAGGGTGAGTTTTACCCTTTGTGATTGTTACAGAAATAAATACTTCTTAAAATCAGAACAAAATTTGGAAAAATTGATCTGTTTGTATTCTTTTTTAGTCTTTTTCATTCAGTGGAACTGCCTTTTGGTATGTATTGCTTAAATATGGGTCCAAAATAGGCTTTTAGCAGGATATATGCTGATGGGTGGAGTGGCAAAATCTCAGGCTTGGTTATGAATGTTTGACTTATATATCACTCAACGAACACAGGTAAAGCTCCCAGGTTTTTGTGGTACTAAATGTTGTAATGACAAAAAAGAAAAAATATTCTTTAAGTTTATTCTTTTTGGTGGTGTGGGAACTTATTCCTGCATTTGTCCAATGAAATAATATGATTTGCTTATCTTTTACTATTATCTCCAAAATATCAGAACTCCCTTCAATCTTCTTTGGATTTGATGGCTACTATCATGGGAAATTGGGAATTATAATCTCAAATCCACATGTTAATTAACATATCGGAATTTACTGTTTGTTCAGAAAGGGTGATAGAGAAAGAGCAGTTCACCATTTCTTAAACCATAAAGGGTGTTCTTTTGATGTTTGCTAAGTTTACACATTATTTTTGAGCATTTCTGGAAGTTTGACTTTGATATCTTTTCTGGCTAAAACATTGGCTGCATTGCTCTACAGTTTTCCAAGTGTATTACATCAGGAAGCACCTCTTTCATTTTGAAAAGCTATTGGTTTCAGTTAAATGGTTCATCAGATAATATGCAGACAGAATAAATATTGCGAAAGTTCTACTAGTCCAAATCCATTGTAGGCAGGTTTACTCACGAAAGAATGATATGTGAACTTAACACAATCTTGATTGGCAGGAATATCTTATATGGGCCACAGGAACCAAATCTATCATATCTTTCTCTGATAAATTTGTCTTTAAACTAGTGAAAGAATCAAAAGAACAATATGATTAGATTCCATTTAAGAATTTGATTGGTACTGTTATTTGCCTTTGTTTGATCTGTTTATATTATAATATGGTAGGTAGCTTCTCAAATTCAAAGAATGGTTACTCTATGCCTTGAGAATCTTAGAAGATACAGGAAATGTTTTCTGGGAAAATAATAAAATGCTCACAGTAACTATCCAGACCGGTTGAAATTTTTGTCTTGATCTGTTTTAATACTAGAAGTTACTACTGCGGTACTGCCTAACACTTTGTTTCCCGGTGAGGGCAAAACTGCTTATTGATTCTTGAAATTAGTCAATCCCTGGTTTTAAGATTTACCAATACTGGATTCTTCAATGGGAGGTGACTTCTGACTTCTGCCTGAATAAATATTGAATAAAATAGACAGTAGCTTCCATTTTTATTAGTATTTTATTTGATTACTGCAGTACGTACTTGGTTTAAACCAGTGATAATGTCATCTGTACAGATTTATTTAACTCTTGACTTTATATATAAAACCAATAAAACTAATTGAATTTGAATCAAATATGAGGCATAAAGACCTGAAAGCTAATATATATATATAAGTCAATTTCAATTTGTATACACTTGATTAATTTTTTGAAACTTTAAAGTGAATGATTAGATGAACCTTTCGATATCTAATCACCTCTATTAACAATAAAAGGAAATCAAACTTAAAATCTTTTATATAATACATTTAAGAATCTTTAACGCCGGATTGAGAGTATTGACAAATATTCCCACCAAACTGCAGAAAATTCATCCTGAAGCTAAAACCTTGATTGACTTTCCTGATAGGCCATGGATCCATATGGAAACTCATAAGAAAATAAATGGAGATTAGGTCAATACTGGATTAACAGCAATTCAAAGATCAGAAAACAATTAATTTATCTTCAACTGTGAACACGGAACCCATTAGAACAAGCAACTGGTCTTCCTTTCCGCGTACGGTAAAGTACTTTCAAAGTCTTTATTAAACACAAAAAGAAATAAATAAATAAATAAAACACAAAAAGAGCCAAAACACAGAACCTTCACCTGCTTGAAATAATATATGTATATATATAATTATAAACAAAACACAGCTATTAATTAGACTCAAAACATTTCCAGGTTTTCCATGTGAAATCAAAAGTAAAAGCTCAAAGGACAGATCAGTACAACTATTTTCAAAGAGAATAATCAGCAATTCAACAACAAAGAGCATCACTGTTCCTTTCATATATGGTCCCCTGAAGCAAAAAAAAACCCACCAAAATTTTTAGAGTCAAATCATTCTGAAACAGCAAAAATGGATTACCGTTAGATGAAATTAATGACGATTTTGATTCCAATCCAGTGGCTGAAATCGATTCCCTGGCCTCTGTGGCTGTATGTATCAGTAATCAGTCACAACCTCCCTTATAAAAAGTCTACCGCTTTTGTTTGAATTTTGGTTCCATTTTGTACCGTTCTTATCTGAGTAAGGTCGGTACTACCTGAAGGTCATCTATAAGTACGGCCGCTACTTTTATTTTATTTTATTATTTATTTATTGTATTATTTAATAGAATTTGTCAATTTTGCTTGTACCGTCTGCACTTGAATCTGTCCTTCCTCATATAGTCCTCCACCAAATGAGCTGGGTCTCACTTTGTGATAAGACCATTGACTTTTCATAATGACCATTTTACGCCCGTCAACTCCCTTCATTTACTATGTCCTTTCACGTACGGTACGTTGATTGCAGTGTGAAAAGACGAAAAACCCCTAGGAATTTTCGTCACTACTCTGGAATACAGTGAGTTTGAACAATTCAAAGGGTTAAGTTGTCTTTTAGTAAGATACGTACACGACCCAACAAACCTTTGAGAAAAAGACTGGTGAGGTTATAACCGTAATCTTATCCTTCTTCTTCTTCTTCTTTCACTTCCCAGTTCAACTGCCCAAGACAAAGCCCATCATTTTTCTGTTAACGGTTACTTCTAGGCTTCACAGAAACCAAAACCCATCTTCACATTCGCCTTATTTTCCTCCTCTTTCGATCTGAAGAAATCTAAATTCTCCCTGATGTCTCATCCAACCATGAAGAAACAGAGGGTCTTTGAAACGATCAATATCTTTGATCTCCTCTCAGAGGAGATCGTTTTCTTAATCTTAGACTGCCTTAACACGAACCCGCTTGACAAAAAATCATTTTCTTTAGCTTGCAAATCATTTTACTCTCTAGAATCTAAACATAGAAAGAAACTCAAGCCTCTTCGCCAAGAGCATCTCCCAAAAATTCTCACGCGTTATCCGAGCGTAGCCCATCTTGATCTCAGTCTTTGTCCTCGAATAACTGACAATTCCTTGAGAACCATATCGAGTGCGTGTAACTCTACGCTTCGGTCTATTGATCTTTCGAAGTCGGGAGCTTTTTCTGGTTCTGGGTTATTGAGTTTAAGCCTGAACTGCAAGAATTTGCTGGAGATTGATATTTCGAACGCGATTGGTTTAAAGGATGCTGGAGCAGCGGCGTTGGCTGAAGCGAAGAATCTGGAGAAGTTGTGGATGGGCAGATGTAAGCTTGTTACTGATATGGGGGTCGGTTGTATTGCGGTTGGGTGTAAAAAGTTGAAGGTGATGAGCTTGAAGTGGTGTTTAGGTGTTGGAGATTTGGGTGTTGGCTTAATTGCGGTTAAGTGTAAGGAGATTCGTAGCTTAGATCTATCTTATTTGCCGGTAATTTTCTTTTTTGTTTCATTATCTTGATTGGGTATACCTAATTATCTATTACTTAGCAATTTTTGGTGTTAATGTATTCACCACTAGTGGATCTGCTTGAATATGGATTTAGATGAATGTTCAATTAGATTTGGAAGGACTGATACTTCAACATGAAATGGATCTATTTTAGCTTTATCATTTATTTGGGTCAGTTTCATCTTTTATTTGGCAGTTTTGAGGTGATCATTGAATCATAAATGATGTTTGATCTAATTTCATTGACAACCTTGCTACTCTTTGCCTGCATTGTGGAAAACAAGTTTTGGTATTTAATTTCATTTGAATTGGATTACCTGTATTCACTAATCAAGTTTATGTATTTGCCTTTCCTTTTCCTGGGCAACATCCTGGGTTTAAACTCTTTTGTTGAAATATTTTGTTAGTCAACTAGTTTCTGGCTGAAACTTTGAATCTTGGTTAATTTTATTTACTGATATGTTGCCTTACAGATTACAAATAAATGTTTGCCGTCTATCTTGAAACTACAATATCTTGAAGATTTAGTTTTGGAGGGGTGCTTTGGTATTGATGATGACAGCCTTGCAGCCCTTAAACATGGATGCAAGTCACTTAAGGTATGTATTGCTGGAACGCCAGTTCATTTTAAGGTGTCCATTTGTCACTATGTTTTAAACAAAGAGAAGTAATTTTTCAATTGTGGATATTAGCATGTCATAAATTAGAATTCAATGATTTTACCTTTTTTGTAACTCTAAAATATCCATTGTGTATCTGATAAGTAATCACCACTATTGGTCTGCTTGAATATGGATTTAGATGAAATGGGAGGTGACTTCTGACTTCTGCCTGAATAAATATTGAATAAAATAGACAGTAGCTTTCATTTTTATTAGTATTTTATTTGATTACTGCAGTACGTACTTGGTTTAAACCAGTGATAATGTCATCTGTACAGATTTATTTAACTCTTGACTTTATATATAAAACCAATAAAACTAGTTGAATTTGAATCAAATATGAGGCATAAAGACCTGGAAGCTAATATATATATACAACGCCAATGTCAATTTGTATACTTTGATTAATTTTTCGGAGTTTTAAAGATAATGACTAGATGAACCTTTCGATATCTAGTGACCCCTGTAAACTATAAAAAGAAATCAAACTTAAATTTTTTTATATAATACACTTAAAAATCTTTATCGTGTTACCAGTAAGCTAATATAGGATTGAGAGCATTGACAAATATTCCCACCAAACTGCAGAAAATTCATCCTGAAGCTAAAACCTTGATTGACTTTCCTGATAGGCCATGGATCCATATCAAAACTCATAAGAAAATAAACGGAGATTAGGTCAATACTGGATTAACAGCGATTCAAAGATCAGAAAACAATTAATTTATCTTCAACTGTGAACACGAAACCCATTAGAACAAGCAACTGGTCTTCCTTTCCGCGTACGGTAAAGTACTTTCAAAGTCCTCATTAAACACAAAAAGAAATAAATAAATAAATAAAACACAAAAAGAGCCAAAACAAAGAACCTTCACCTGCTGAAATAATATATGTATATATATAATTATAAACAAAACACAGCTATTAATTAGACTCAAAACATTTCCAGGTTTTCCATGTGAAATCAAAAGTAAAAGCTCAAAGGACAGATCAGTACAACTATTTTCAAAGAGAATAATCAACAATTCAACAACAAAGAGCATCACTGTTCCTTTCATATATGGTCCCCTGAAGCAAAAAAAAACCCACCAAAATTTTTAGAGTCAAATCATCTCCTGAAACAGAAAAAATGGATTACCTTTAGATGAAATTAATGACGATTTTGATTCCAATCCAGTGGCTGAAATCGATTCCCTCTTTTACAAGTTGCAAAAATCGAGGCCTCGCTGTGGGCCTGTGGCTGTATGTATCAGTAATCAGTCACAACCTCCCTTATAAAAAGTCTACCGCTTTTGTTTGAATTTTGGTTCCATTTTGTACCGTTCTTATCTGAGTAAGGTCGGTACTACCTGAAGGTCATCTATAAGTACGGCCATTACTTTTATTTTATTATTTATTTATTTTATTGTTTAATAGAATTTGTCAATTTTGCTTGTACCGTCTGCACTTGAATCTGTCCTTCCTCATATAGTCCTCCACCAAATGAGCTGGGTCTCACTTTGTGATAAGACATTGACTTTCATAATGACCATTTTACGCCCGTCAACTCCCTTCATTTACTATGTCCTTTCACGTACGGTACGTTGATTGCAGTGTGAAAAGACGGAAAGCCCCTAGGAATTTTCGTCACTTACTCTGGAATACAGTGAGTTTGAACAATTCAAGGGGTTAAGTTGTCTTTTAGTAAGATACGTACACGACCCAACAAACCTTTGAGAAAAAGACTGGTGAGGTTATAACCGTAATCCTATCCTTCTTCTTCTTCTTCACTTCCCAGTTCAACTGCCCAACACAAAGCCCACCAATTTTCTGTTAACGGTTACTTCTAGGCTTCACAGAAACCAAAACCCATCTTCACATTCGCCTTATTTTCCTCCTCTTTCGATCTGAAGAAATCTAAGTTCTCCCTGATGTCTCATCCAATCATGAAGAAACAGAAGGTCTTTGAAACGATTAATATCTTTGATCTCCTCTCAGAGGAGATCGTTTTCTTAATCTTAGACTGCCTTAACACGAACCCGCTTGACAAAAAATCGTTTTCTTTAGCTTGCAAATCATTTTACTCTCTAGAATCTAAACATAGAAAGAAACTCAAGCCTCTTCGCCAAGAGCATCTCCCAAAAATTCTCACGCGTTATCCGAGCATAACCCATCTTGATCTCAGTCTTTGTCCTCGAATAACTGACAATTCCTTGACAACCATATCGAGTGTGTGTAACTCTACGCTTCGGTCTATTGATCTTTCGAAGTCGGGAGCTTTTTCTGGTTCTGGGTTGTTGAGTTTAAGCCTGAACTGCAAGAATTTGGTGGAGATTGATATTTCGAACGCGATTGGTTTAAAGGATGCTGGAGCAGCGGCGTTGGCTGAAGCGAAGAATCTGGAGAAGTTGTGGATGGGCAGATGTAAGCTTGTTACTGATATGGGGGTCGGTTGTATTGCGGTTGGGTGTAAAAAGTTGAAGGTGATGAGCTTGAAGTGGTGTTTAGGTGTTGGAGATTTGGGTGTTGGCTTAATTGCGGTTAAGTGTAAGGAGATTCGTAGCTTAGATCTATCTTATTTGCCGGTAATTTTCTTTTTTGTTTCATTATCTTGATTGGGTATACCTAATTATTTATTGCTTAGCAATTTTTGGTTTTAATGTATTCACCACTAGTGGATCTGCTTGAATATGGATTTAGATGAATGTTTGATCTAATTTCATTGACAACCTTGCTACTCTTTGCCTGCATTGTGGAAAACAAGTTTTGGTATTTAATTTCATTTGAATTGGATTACCTGTATTCACTAATCAAGTTTATGTATTTGCCTTTCCTTTTCTTGGGCAATATCCTGGGTTTAAACTCTTTTGTTGAAATATTTTGTTAGTCAACTAGTTTCTGGCTGAAATTTTGAATCTTGGTTAATTTTATTTACTGATATGTTGCCTTACAGATTACAAATAAATGTTTGCCGTCTATCTTGAAACTACAATATCTTGAAGATTTAGTTTTGGAGGGGTGCTTTGGTATTGATGATGACAGCCTTGCAGCCCTTAAACATGGATGCAAGTCACTTAAGGTATGTATACGCCAGTTCATTTTAAGGTGTCCATTCGTCACTATGTTTTAAACAAAGAGATGTAATTTTTCAATTGTGGATTTTAGCCTGTCATAAATTAGAATTCAATGATTTTACCTTTTTTGTAACTCTAAAATATCCATTGTGTATCTGATAAGTAAAATAGTCTATGTTGACACAAAAAAATAAAACTACTTTTGTTTCATGCTACATTTGGGTTTCTTTTTCATTTTGGTGCTAGCTTTTTAAGTAGCTGTGTTTACAGAGTTGTATGTCATTTAAGGTGGTACTTTATCCATATTAGGAACCATGGAGATTTTATATTAAATAGATTGAAAATTATTTTGACATATCTATTTCGTTTTTGCATTTTACAGGCCCTTGATGTGTCAAGTTGTCAAAACATTAGTCACCTTGGCTTGTCTTCGCTAACAAGTGGTACTGGAGGTTTACAGCAACTTACCTTGGCTTATGGCTCTCCGGTAAGTCTTTCTACTTCTTTGCCTCTTTCTATTGTTTAAAGGCTTAACCTTTAGCCCATTATTTACAGTTTGGCGGTGTTGATTGTCAGGTCACTCTTGCTCTTGCCGATGGTTTGAAGAAGCTTTCCATGTTGCAATCAATCAAATTAGATGGTAGCGTGGTTACTTGTGCTGGATTGAAGGCCATGGGAAATTGGTGTGTATCACTAAAGGAGCTGAGCTTAAGCAAGTGTTTAGGAGTGACTGATGAAGGTCTCTCGTCTGTTGTCACAAAACACAGAAACTTGAAGAAGCTAGACATCACATGTTGTCGCAAAATTACTGATGTTTCTATTGCCCAAATTACAAGTTCATGCACTACACTCAGTTCCTTTAAGATGGAGTCGTGTACCTTAGTTCCTAGGGAAGCATTTGTTCTTATTGGACAGCGGTGCCATTCTCTTGAAGAGCTTGATCTGACAGATAATGAAATTGATGATGAAGGTTTCAACATTCACTCTAATGTTCTTTGAATAAGGACTACCATATTGGTTTGCATACTTATAATTATTTCTGTTGCAGGTCTGAAGTCCATCTCTAGATGTTCCAAACTCTCGACTTTGAAACTAGGAATTTGTCTAAACATTACCGATCTCGGACTGGCCCATGTTGGCATGAGCTGCTCAAAACTCATAGAGCTTGATTTGTACAGGTTTGTGATCTCTGATCTGCTAGCCTTTTCTGCTTTCCGTTTCCGTTTCTCTTTGGGAATAATTAATTTATATTTAAAGTCTTAGTTTGATTAAAGCAAGTTTTCCCTTTAGTTTATATTGGAGTAAGTTTTAGAACTCCCTGGTTTGTGCCAAGGAATGTCTTTCTGTATGAATGGACTTATGATATCTTACTGTGGTTACTTTGTTCAGGTCTATGGGAATTACGGATACAGGCATTTCAGCAATTGCCCATGGTTGCCCTGACCTTGAGATGATTAATATAGCCTACTGTAAAGACATTACTGATACTTCCTTAATATCTTTATCAAAATGCTCAAAATTAAACACATTTGAAAGTCGAGGATGCCCCTTTATAACATCTTTAGGTCTCGCAGCCATTGCTGTGGGATGTAAGCAACTCACCAAGCTAGATATAAAGAAGTGTCACAACATCAATGATGTTGGAATGCTTCCACTTGCTCACTTCTCTCAAAATCTCAGACAGGTAGACCCCAATGCCGTTTCTGTTCATTTTGGCAAATATAATGTATCAATAGCAGAAGCTGAGACCAATTCTGCTTCATTCTTTTCATCGCAGATTAATTTATCCTACAGTTCAGTTACAGATGTGGGGCTCTTGTCGCTGGCCAGCCTCGGTTGTTTACAGAGCATGACAATCTTGCACTTGAAGGGCTTGACTCCTAGTGGACTGGCAGCTGCCCTGTTGGCATGTGGAGGGCTAACAAAAGTCAAACTTCAGGCATCCTTTAAATCGCTGTTACCCCAGCCACTTTTTAAACATTTAGAAGCACGTGGTTGTGTGTTTCAATGGAGAGACAAAGGGTTTCAGGTATGTATGGATGATTGACCTGCCATGAGGTTCACAACCTCATTATTTATTTGCTCAATTGTTTGCATAATCTGGCTAGCCTGATTTTATTGATTTTTTTTTTTCTGAAAGAAATAGTATCCGCGATAGCTGTTGTTTTCTCAACAATTCTTTGTCCCTTTTAAAGTTACTATTTTTCTTCATATGTTTGCTTTCTACTTAAAAAGCTCCAAGAGAAGTAACATAATAGTCTACAGCAATCATTTGCTCTTTGAATAGTAGGTGCTAACAACTGTAAAGTTTGACAAATCATGTGAATATCCATATTGCATCCTAAGACAGATGGACTAATTTTGAGTCATAAAGACAATAATTTAGTTATGCATATTTTAATCGAGTGAGTGAATTATGCATTTACAGGCTGAATTGGACCCCAAGTGCTGGAAGTTGCAGGTGGAAGACATGGTGGGTGGAGGATACTAAAATCCCATCTCAGCAAATGCTGGTTCCACAATGTGCATCAGGCAAATTCTTCAGAAACTTGCTCCCTTTCTTCAGCGGCTTCAACCTGTTGTATTTTTTCTCCGAATCATGGAGAAACATAGAACATATTTTTTACTCCCGCAGTTTTGAATTAAATCTTCCATTTCAAGTCAAGAATTGTTGATCCGAATGTCTGGAGGTCTGTTTCCTGTAATTGTTCATACATTGATGAAGTGATGGGGTGGAGCTTTTGGCTAACACTTTACAACAGAAAACAAAGAAAATGGGAGCCATTGGTTGATTTTTTTGATAAAGTGGTATTGTATGTTAGTCAGAAAGTTATAAAATTGCATCCTTTATGAAGATTTTGTGAAGATGACATGATAGGTTTGATTTGGTGATCACTGGCCGCATCATTGTAATAATCAAAAGACGGTCCATTGATTTTGCCTTTACCGAGCCAAGAAATGTTCCTTTTCAGTGCCTATAGATGGCAAAGATGCTAAACACGTGTGCCCAATTATAAAAGAAAAAATTTCGGTAACCGATGTGGGATCTTCTTCCTTTATTGGGCAGGCCAATCAAGCCCACCATCCCCCATCGCCACCCAAAAAACCAAACTTTTGGGGATTGCTGCTGCTTCACTGTACCCACAAAACTCCAACAAATCTCATTATNTCTTCCATTTCAAGTCAAGAATTGTTGATCCCAATGTCTGGAGGTCTGTTTCCTGTAATTGTTCATAAATTGATGAAGTGATGGGGTGGAGCTTTTGGCTAACACTTTACAACAGAGAACAAAGAAAATGGGAGCCATTGGTTGAATTTTTTGATAAAGTGGTATTGTATGTTAGTCAGAAAGTTATAAAATTGCATCCTTTATGAAGATTTTGTGAAGATGACATTGATAGGTTTGATTTGGTGATCACTGGCCGCATCATTGTAATAATCAAAAGACGGTCCATTGATTTTGCCTTTACCGAGCCAAGAAATGTTCCTTTGCAGTGCCTATAGATGGCAAAGATGCTAAACACGTGTGCCCAATTATAAAAGAAAAAATTTCGGTAACCGATGTGGGATCTTCTTCCTTTATTGGGCAGGCCAATCAAGCCCACCATCCCCCATCGCCACCTAAAAAACCAAACTTTTGGGGATTGCTGCTGCTTCACTGTACCCACAAAACTCCAACAAATCTCATTATACGAAGAATACTCCTACATATACATCATTTTTATATAATATTTTTCATACAATATTATGTGGCAATATATGATTGGGTAAAAATTTAATTTTAACTTTAAATTAGCCAATCATATCTTGCTACATAATGTTGTATGGAAAATATTGTATAAAAATAATATATGTATAGTATTACTCTATATGTATATCTAACAATTGTTTGGTCATGAATCTCGAAATATTATGATAACATGAGTAAACCCTTTTGAAACAAACTCAATATGTGTCATAAAATTTCTTAACATGAGTAAACCCTTTTGAAACAAACTCAATATGTGTCATAAAATTTCTCTAAACCATTGTTGATGACCTAAATCAGCCAATAAAGAAGATTGATTGTAGTAGTGATATTGTAATAATTTGTGTTATGATCATGGTTGTTAATATCCTACGGTACCTGATACGTATCATACGATACGATTCGATACAGGTCGTCAACGATACGTATCAGAGAATGTATCCTAAATTTTTCGATACGTTAATATGTATCTTACAATACGATACGTAATTTAATATTGATAATAATATTGATTTTGGAATTTTGTAATTAATTTTGATTATGTAATACCGTAATTTAAAGTCAATAATACCACAAAAGTCTTTAATTAATTTTGGGGATGATATTAATTTTTAGAAAATTTTAATTATTTTTTTAATTTTTAAAAAAAATATGTATTTTACAATACGATATGTTACGATATCATATATGTGATACATAATACGATTTAATAACCACGGTTGTGATTGCCCTGGAAACAGCAGAAATCATTAGTGTCTCTCTTTAATGGAGTAATGGTGAGCCTGCAGTGTCCAGGATTATTGGTGACAGAGATATTTTTCCCATATTGGATTATTTAATGAAGTTTGACAGAGTCAAAAATGTAACTCACCCATCACCATTACAACATATATCTTCAGTAAAAAAAAGGAAAAAAAGAATCTCAGCAAGTTTTGAAGACCAAGTCACCAACGGGGAATGGCGCCTCTTTACTCGATTCTCAATTCTGAGTCCATCAGTACAAGACCTCTACACTGTGGAAATCATTTTATCATTATTTTTATCTTTATTTTAATATTTAACCCTGGAAGTTGAAAAGCTGAAAACCCAATTTTTTAAATCACGGGGAGGGTTCAGGAAAGAGTCAGAAATGGCTCACGATATTGAGTGTAAAGGTATTATGTCATTTTACCCCCACGGTCTTGGCTCACATGCAGCTTGAAAGCCTGAAGAAGATGGTTCTTAGGTGGCGGCTCCTGTTTGAATTGGTCAATAGACTCAATACATTCATCAACAAGCTGATGATATTTTTACAAAAATAATGAAGAAGACAAAAAAATATATATTTTAAATAATTATTTTATCATAGTGTCAACATATATATATATACGTCTCTCTTTGTTATTAGTAATTTACTAGTTTACCCTTTTTTTTTTTTTAAATTATTCAAAAAAGGTACGTTTGGGTACCTTAGAAAAGTCTTCTTATTATGTAGTCAAATTGTCAAAACTTGCATTTGCTCAATTTATTGTAAAAGGTTATAAAAAATGTTGCTAATCAACTATTTATTATTATTATTATTATTTGTTAGCCAGGATGTCCAGGCCAATTTTTTTTTTTTTTTTTATGCGTAGGAGTGTCTGAGTCAGTTTACGCGCATCTCAATTAATCTCTTGGAGCCCTGAAGTTAATGATCGAGTAAACTTCTAATCAGGGGCGGATCTTGCCCACTTTTGGCCCACCCTCAATTTTCTTTTAAAAATACTAATATATATAATTTTTAGATTTTGGTCCACCCTAACAAAAATATTAGTGGACAAAAATATGTAATTAGTTTTTATTTTGGCCCACCCTAAAAAAAAATTCTGGATCCGCAACAGTTCTAATGACCATCTTTATTAACCGAAAGGAATCGAACTCAGGACTTCTTGAATAATACACTTGAGAATTCTTATTCGATCACTCGACTATTCAAGGGTGGTTATCTAGGTCAGTTTGCATATACTTCAAACTAATCATCGGAGTTCATTGAACACCCTACAAGCTCATGATGACTAAAGTTCTGTTATCCGACTACAAAGACAATGGTTTAAACACAAGATCTCTGAATCAACTATTTTCTAAAATTGCTATGATTTTATGTAATTTGATCAATGTTAAACTTCGATCCAAATAAAATATTGCTTTAAAATTTAGCTAAAATATGATGTTATTTTTCAATTAAATAAAAATATAAAATTTTATATACATTGGGTTTAATTGTATCCAATAAAAACATATCAAACTAGTGACTAATCAGGTGCAAGGACACGTGGCAAGAAGCTGATTAAGCCGAGGGAGTCTGATATGGCTTGCTAGTCCAGTCAAACCCACAAGCTTTGACCAAGAATATTTTTCCACGGTCAAACTTTGCTTTTAGCTTCTGGGAAGAAACATGGAGGGGAGACCTTAATGCGAACCTCACCAAGTCACCATGAAAAACATTGCCCCTTCAATTTAATTTCCATCTTCTCCCTCTTCCTCTCACTGTCTCTCTCTCTCTCTCTCTCTTACGTATGTCTTCTTCAGCTAACTCTTTAGACTCTTCTATAAATCACAGCTCCAACTTCTCTTTCCCTTCATTCATGGCCTCTTCTAATTTTTTGAACAGTATGGACAATTTTAACCAAGACAGAACGTCGATAAACTGGGGAGGATTTTCTAACTTTACAACTGCAAATTCTTCTTCTTCTTCTTCATTACCCGTCTCTCCTCCTCCTGTTTCTCCTTCTTCTTATTTATCAATCCCACCTGACCTCTTGGACTCCCCTGTACTTTTCTCTAATGTAAGTCTTCTTTATACGATCGTATAAACAGAATAATAAATTTTATTTTACTTGATTTTTATCTGACTTTTTGTTTGTGTTTGTTTGTTTGTTTGTTTAGATTCTTGCTTCACCAACAACAGCTGAAGCTTTTGGTGTTCAAACCTTCAACTGGAACAATAACCAGCAGCAGAGTAACAAGGGAGAAGAGAATAAAAATATTAACTTGTTTGATTTCTCTTTTCAAACCCAAACAAGGCCTTCTTCTTCTGCATCTTCATCGGTGTTTCAATCTTCTTCAAACATTGTTTCACTGGTAATTTTTCACCCCATTTATTACGTGTTTAGCAAGAGACTCTTTTGTCCACAGTTTTGTTTGTTCTGTTAAGTTATCCTGCTCAATACTATATAATATATAATAGCCTATAGTTTTGCTTTTACACTGCTAGTTTGACAATAAGAAGGCATTTAACAATTCAAATAAAATCATATCACACGTAGTACAGAATTGAAATTCTAACAAGATAGACAAGCAATTTGAGTGGGGGCAACATTAAAATAATGAGGTATTTTAGAAGTTATCATGTCATTTAAATTTTTTTAAGATATGATGGTAAAAGGGGTATATCCTATTTGAAAACGTTTATAGAAACATGCCAGCTGAAATAACAAGAAAAGATTTGAGATACAATATCTGAGAAATCTTGAATTTTCTAGTTTATCTTCAGTTTTGTTTTGATATGTTTAAATCATTATATTTGAAACAGGAGGAAACAGTTAAAAGGCAACATGAGTCATGGAATTTCAACAAGCCCACAAAGCAGCCTGATTTCTTAGTTGAAAACAGAGGACTCAAGTCAGAATTTGCACCAGTTCAGAGCTTCCCCTCAGAAATGGCTTCATATCAAACAAATGTTCAAAGTAATAGTGCTGCTAATCCACAATCTGGTTACAGTCATTACCCTCAGTATACCAGAGAGCAAAAAAGATCAGAAGATGGGTACAATTGGAGAAAATATGGACAAAAACAAGTCAAAGGAAGTGAAAATCCTCGGAGTTATTACAAATGCACATTTCCTGATTGCCCAACAAAGAAAAAAGTTGAGAGATCATTGGATGGACAGATTACTGAAATAGTATATAAAGGAAGTCACAACCATCCCAAGCCTCAGCCTTCTAGAAGATCATCCTCTCAATCGTTGCAACCTTCTACATGTGCAAACTCTGAAATATCTGATCAATCAGTCAGCGCAATGGGCAATGCACAGACTGAGTCTTTCTCTATGCAGGGTGATTCTTCAGCCTCATATGGAGAGGATGATTTTGGGCAAGGATCACCTACAAGTAATCCTAAAGGAGACGCGGATGAAAACGAACCCGATGCCAAAAGATGGTACGTTGGGGATAGAAAATATTACTCCTTGTGACATTTTTCATATGGAAATGCTTATGGGTTCTGAGTGTTATTTCTTTTGATTTTGCAGGAAAGGAGACAATGAAATTGCGGGTGCTATTGGCACCGGAAGCAGAACTGTGAGGGAGCCAAGAATTGTTGTTCAAACAACAAGTGATATTGACATTCTTGATGATGGATATAGGTGGAGAAAATATGGACAAAAAGTAGTGAAGGGCAATCCCAATCCAAGGTGATTACTCTTTTACTCTTTAAAATGTACCCAATTTTTCCAATTTTTCAGAAACTGTTATGAACTTGTTTCTGATTGCAATTTTTCTTCATCGGTAGGAGCTACTATAAGTGTACAACTATTGGTTGTCCGGTGAGGAAACATGTAGAAAGAGCATCCCATGATACAAGGGCTGTGATCACCACCTATGAAGGGAAACACAACCATGATGTTCCAGCAGCTCGTGGCAGCGGTTATTCGCTGCCTAGACCTTCATCAAATAATACAAGCAGCAATGTGGCGATGCCTATAAGACCATCGGTGACTGCTTTTGCCAATCAGTCTAACCAATCAAGTTATTCTAACTCCTTTCACAACATGAGGTTGCCAACATCAGGTAGTCAAACACAGTTTACACCAGCAATGCTACAGGGCACAGGGAGTTTTGGGTTTTCAGGATTTGGTAAAACAGTTGGCTCCTACATGAATCAGACACAACAATCAGGTGCTGTGTTTCCCAGAGCCAAAGAAGAACCCCAGGAAGACTCATTCCTAGATTCATTCCTAAATTAAAACAACTAACTCCAAAAGTGCACTTGAGCAGTAAATGTTATCAATCATATATGAATTTTTTTATTTGTAAGTGGGTAGTGGCCCTGTAAATTCTGGAACTGGTATAGGTGGAGTTGTATTTGTTCATTTGTTTACAGCCTTATAAACTTGACAATTTAGGCCTCAGAATCGGATTATAACAGGAGAATTTCGGTGTTTTTTCTTGGATATCACCCATCATATAGATGCATCTTATTGATCATATCACCTTAGCTTTTAAGAAACAACAAAACTGATTATAATGCAAGCAACAATAAGTCCTGTTGCTAAATAAACAATCCAAAACACATGAAAATTACGAATCTAGTCTGATAAATCATTGAGAGAGATCAAGATTTTCACGTTGGTCTCGAACCCAGTTTGCAAAAAAATAGAATCAAGCATCTAAATACATTATTTGTCACTCTGGTTACATTCAACCATCTAAAATACAGATACCAATAAGAGCTCTGACCTTCTGAGCACGGCTCTCTATACAACACAAAATTTTAGATAAACATTCGTATGTGACAATGAAACAATAGATACAGAAAAACATTCGTATGTGACAATGAAACAATAGATACAGAAAAAATCACAGAACCAAAAAGATAAAAATGGGCGTACTTAAATCTGAGATTGAGTTGTTAATTTATATCCTGAAATGAGAGCTGACAATGCCAGTGCTGTGAATGCCAAGAATTCCATGCTAATGGAAGCTGCACAGGAGTCTGTAAATATATTGTCTGCTCCTTCCCTCATCCTATTTGTCATCGGAACTGCAGCCGAGGCTGCTGATATCAACAGATAAGCTACAATCTATGACACAACAAACCAAAGATATAATCTCAGAATTCAGATATACATTTAAACATTACAACAGAAAGTTATATTAAATTAATGAATAAAAGCTCTTCCACCAAATTCAACTTCAAGGTCAAGGAATCAAATTCTTGGTTTCAGTTGGATTGAAGAATATAAAATATATTGTTTCCGGAAACTCACACATGAAGAAAGCTCCCCACATTTTCCAGATGCTACTAGGCCATTCTCCCTTTCAGGATTAGCCCATCTGACCAATTAAATTCTTAAACAAAATTAAAGGAGGTGCCCATGGCCCATTCACCAACTCCTCAATCTTATCATCTTCAACCAATGTTTATGTTCTCAACTCTCTCAAACCTTCTGATTTATCTTTTTTCTATTTCTTTTAATTTCCTTCGTGTAAATTAAAATGGCAAAAGAATGAACTAAATAGAACTCTAACCTGATCTCCGAAAAAATCAAGCAAAGCAGACGTACGCGGCTGCAACAATTGTTTGCTTGTAGATATCTCGTGCACGTGACGCAGAGCCTGTCCTCCTGTATACAAAGTCGAAAGAACTGCTATTGCCAGAACATACCTAAAAACAAATGTACCCAGAAAGAAAAACAAATAATCAAAATCCAATAATCAATCCCAAAGAAAAAGATAAAACCTTCAGAAACAAAATATTAATAAAAAATTACCTGAACTCTTCATATTTATCAAAATCTTTCCAATCACCATGTTTATTACTCGCCATGGTAATAAAAGCAATCAAAGAAAACAACAAAGCCACTCCTCTCAAAGCCAAAGACCCTCTCTTCAAAAAATCCTCACTCTTCCACCGTCGGGTGATCGCCGAGACACCAAACCCGGACGCCGTCTCCGGAGTCGGAGTCTGGCCCTCGACATCCATAGCCGGTGGCGCCACTGGCGCGGATGCCACGTAATTCTTGTCATCTGAATTGGACATACTCGCAAATTTATTCAGTGGGAGGAATATCAGGATTGAAGAGTGAAATGAATGAGAGATAAATTCTAGATTTGCTTTAAAACAAGAACAAGAGTGTTGAGTTTTCTTATGTGAAGATCACAAGAAACTGAAAGCTCTTGTTGGTTTTATTATTATTAAAAACTGACAACTCAGCCTTGTTTGACAGAAGGATATGTCTTCGCGCGATAACTTGTAACGAACTTCAGTTAAATACGGTCTTTATTTCACAAAGCTGTGGCTGCAGGCTAACAGTTTGTTCATTGGGACCCAATTGTAATTTTCAATTTCAGTAAACTGACATTTTTCCACCCAAGGTTTGCCTTAACAATACTTTCCCATCCAAAGTTTATATTCCGTCAATACTCAAAATACACTCTACTTTCTCAATCAGTGTTATGTGAGTTACCAGGAGCCAGGATAGGAGGGGTTTTGTAGAGCGGAAGCCGGTGGATTGAATGGTGATGGATTAAATATTCGCCCTCGAAATTAACTAAGAACATGAAACTCTAACTTTGTAATTACAGATAATCAATGAGAAATCAGGTGCTAAAGTGATAGGGGTTTTATAAAGAGGAAACCGGATGTTCAAATGGTGGTAACAGAGAGAATTTTCATCATTGGAATCGGTTTTAGATAGTAATGAAATATATACTTTTGGTGGAAAAATGGTATTTTGAAACACTTTTTAGGTCGAAAATGTTATTAAGGCAAACCATCGGTGGGAAAAAGTGGTTTACTCTTTCCAATTATAAATTATATTCTATGAATAGACTGTTTGAGATGCCATCTCTTTGTCAAGATCATCAAGAAGCTTTGCGTAGGGCCAATTTTAAAGTCGAAAGATTATCGTAATTGCCCTCACGTCTTTCCCAGTTTCTAATCTTTCAATATTATAATACTTTTATCAAATTTTAATTAGTTTATCTTTTTAAATAGTATATTTAAACTAATTTACATGTTACTCAATTACTTTTTTTTTTTTTTCTCTTAATAATATAAAAAATAGTTTGACCAAGCAAAAACTTTTCGTAGCTATTTTCCATTCATTTTCAATCCATGATTATTTACATGTAGATTAATATGCCGACTAGTCGTGGATTTTTTTATCATTTTGAAACAAAAAGAATTTAACTATACGTATTATTTAATGCATAATTATTGAATAATTCTTTAGTATAACGAATGCACTTATAATCGTCCAATGAGGGTGTGCCACATTAAAACGTGTGTCAAACACACGTCCCTGATTAGATGGTTGTTAATGCATCCATTGCACCAGAGATTTGCTCATAAATATCATTTGAAAAATCTCTCCTTTGGTTCACTACTATTACCATACCTATTCTATGATCATATCCTAAAAACCTCTGTTTTAAAAACCGAACCGACTGGTCTGACCTGGACCTGGCAGCTTCTCAAGTCCGTTTTAGGTTTTAGAGGGATTTTTGTAATATTTCAAAATTATAAGGGTTATTTTGTAATTTTATAGGGGTGTTTTGGAGATATGTCAAAAGTTTGGGGATTACTCGGTATTTTTTGGGGCATTTTTGAAATAAATAAAAATTTTAGGGACTACTTTAAACTTTTTTAAGGGAATTTTTATAATATATTCAAATTTAAGGGATTAATATGTAATTTTTAAAAAATAAAATTATCGTTGACGTCATCGTTCCAATCGGTTGGATCGATTGACCTATGATCCAGGCAACAAAACGGGTTATCCTACGGTCCGGGTTTTAAAACAATACAAAAAACAAAAAAATGATTCTATTTCAATATTCTCAAAATCTAATTCTGCTTTATTCAACATAAAAAATATTAATAATTACATTTTTCGTAAAGATAACTCTTTTTCTAAAATACTGTACTAAAAAGCATCGTAATTGTAAACCAAATGGGACCTTAGATTCGGAGAGAATTTTAATTCTAAAAATACCCTTTTGGGTTTCTAAAAGCCCTAGAAATGAAGACCATTCTTATGGAATGCTGAGTCCACGACAGTTGGACCAGATGAGTCATTCAGCCCATAAAAGTACAGAACAGTTGAACCAATAAATCTTGTTAAAGTCCCCCAACCATGGACAACAATTATACCCATCTTGTCAAGAGATGGCTCTTCCATAGTTCCATTCCAGGGTCCCCGCTCAGGTTTCTGTCAACGTCTTCCCAACATTACCATTTATCAATGAAACAACATCTAAAATCCAGAGGCTTTTTCTGGTCCACTCTTTCAGCCGATATCTTAGTTGTTCTACTGTAGATGATAACCAAGACAATTCACCAAATGAATCACATCTGTCTCTAGGATTCGTCCTGGTGGTCAGCTTATAATAGGAACAAAATAATACTGGAAGAGGCGAAGAGAACAATTGTTGCTCTCTGTCTTTAGATGTGACTCTATAACTGCAATAAGTTACAGACAAAAAACGATTTCTACTTCAACATGATTATGCTGTTTTAATATCTCCTCATCATCATATTCCAATAATTCACATATATGGAATATTCATACAAATAAAATTTTATTATAAAGTATTTAACTAGACAAAATCATCTTCTAAGTCAACTCAATGGTTATTAAATGGAAATTTGAGGACAGGAGAGGTGGGTGGATGTAGGCATGGGCGCATGGCAATGTTTCCCGAAATTCCAGGGACTCGTCCCGCCTCGCCCCATATGGGACGGGAAAGCCTCGGTTTTTCCAGGAATAGGGGCGAGGGTGGGTGATGCCTTTCCCCTGCCCCGCCCCGTCCCGCCTCGTATATAATATATAAAATTAAAAATTATATATATATACACATATACTTTTCACTAATATCCATATATTTCACCTAATTACACAATTATTCTACCTATATAAACTCATATTTTCCCAATTTCCCTCACCCTAAATAATTGAATAAGAACAAACCCTAACCCATATTTATGTATAATTAATTATGTTTAAACGATTAATTTAAGTGTTTGTTGTGAACGAGAATTAACTATTGTGTTTGGTAATACTCAAATTAATTTATGTTTATGTAAAATTAACGGGGTGGGGATGGACCTCCAACATTCCCCTTTGGGGTGGGGAAGGGGAATTCCTGTCATCCCCGTAAGGGTAGGGATGGGCACATAGGCCGGCCCCGCAGGGATTCGCCCCAACTCGTCCTGAATAGGGCAAATTTTCCTCAAATTTTTCGGGATTCGGGTCGGGATCGAGTCCAAAAATCCCCCCCAAATTCGGGGATGGGCCAGGGCCGAGATTGGCTTTGCCCTAGCCCGCCCCGCCCCGTCCCCGGCCCGTATATTTTATATATATATATATAACATTATACAATAATAAATTATAATTGTGTAAATATTTTATTAAACAATATATAAATAGATAATAAATAAAAATAGATTAAATATAATAAATCATTATAAATATTTGTAATATATATATGATAATGCTGTGAAACAAAAGTTATACATTCGACATTATATATTATACATTATATATGTTATACATTTAACATTATAATTTATACATTATATATAGTATACATTTGACATTATATATTATACATTATACATTGTATATTATATATGATATATACTATATAAGCATAATGTATATAACATATATATGTTATACATTATAATTTATACATAATATACTATTATCTATAATATTACGTTAATATATAATATATATGTTATATATTATTTGTTGTTTTGATTGATTATAATGAATCAATAAATCACTATAATTTTTTTTGTCCCTCACTGAATTATTATTTCAATTCTATTATCTAATTGTCTTTGTTATATTATGAATTGTGATAGCTATTTATTTAGAATTTATTATTATGTATAGTAGTTATTTATTTAAAATTTATTATAATATATATGTATAATGTATCATATATAATACATTATATTATATATTAAAGAGACATTATATATGTATATTTATTACTTAATACAATAATACATAATTTATATATATATATATATNAATAAAACTAGATTAAATATAACAAATCATTATAAATATTTGTAATATATATTATACATAATATGATAATGCTATGAAATAAAAGTTATACATTCTACATTATATATTATACATTATATATGGTATACATTTAACATTATAATTTATACATTATATATAGTATACATTTGACATTATATATTATACATTATATATTGTATATTATATATGATATATACTATATAAGCATAATGTATATAACATATATATGTTGTACATTATAATTTATACATAATATGCTATTATCTATAATATTATGTTAATATATAATATATATGTTATATCTTATTTGTTGTTTTGATTGATTATAATGAATTAATAAATTACTATAATTTTTTTTGTCCCTCACTGAATTATTATTTCAATTCTATTATCTAATTGTCTTTGTTATATTGTGAATTGTGATAACTATTTAGAATTTATTATTATGTATGGTAGTTATTTATTTAGAATTTATTATAATATATATGTATAATGTATCATATATAATACATTATAATATATATTGAAGAGACATTATATATGTATATTTATTACTTAATACAATAATACATAATATTATACTATTAATATATAATATATTTATATATATGTATAATGTATTATAATTATCATTATGATATTTGGATTCATTATAATCATTAATCAATGGCGGATCCAACACTTGTTGAGGACTTGAGGGCGGGCATTTGAACAAAAAAATACTAATATGTATAATTTCTGAATTTTGCCCTACCCTAATAGAATTGTTAATTGAAAAAAATATTAATTTGTAATTAATTTTTATTTTGGCCTACCCTAACATAAATTTTTGGATTCACTATTGATTATAATAGCAAATCCAAAAATTTCAATGAATTCATAAAATTTTCAATTCCATCTTTCCATTACATAATTACCATTTTCCTTGTTATGTTTTCATAATAACAATTTTCCCTTGTTATGAATTTAATTTCTTTTTTGGTTAGTATATATAATTGGGAGAAAATAATAATAAAAGTATAAATTAAGGATAAAATAAAAATAAAAATAAAAACCCAAACAATCCCCCGATTCCCCGTTTGGGGATTTTTTTTTCGGGGATTCCCCGAATTCTCCGAACGGGCTTTGGGCCGGGATCGGGGAATCCCCTCGAGCTTTCGG